CCTGGCTGTGCCGTGAGCCCCAGCACGGACCACGCAAGGCTCCGGCTTTGCAGCCGTGCCTCTCCTCCAGCACAGCAGAGGGGAATTATCTCTGCCTGGGGAGTGAGCAGCTGAAGGATGTGAGCAGACGAGGGGAAGAGCAGGACACAGGCAAGGCTTTCCTTCCACATGTTCTTGCTAATGAAAACCAGGAGCTGTGCAACCTTGGAGTGCAGCAGTGCCTTGTGAAAATGGCATTGCAGAGCTGTCTGGGTGTCCTGCAGGCAGCACAGCCCCTTTGCTGGGATTCCCTGGGATGGTGGATGATGGCGGCAGGGACCAAGGCACAGAGACCAGAGAGTTCTGGCTTTAACAAGGGCCATGTCTGGCCAATTTGGCAATGCCTGGGTGGGTCACCCTTCCCTCTGAGTGGGAAATGTCAGGTTTGGATTTTGTTCAAAGTGAACATGTGGTGTATGCAGCAGCTCCTCAGCCTTCCCACTTCTCTGCCCTGAGTTTTGGAGCTTTTTTAAGGACATTGCAGGGCTGGAGGTCTCCTGCCCACCAAATTCTTGTTTGAACGGAATGTTGACAGCTTGATTGCCAAGCGTTGCTGTGAGGTAGTATTTGCCCTCCCAAGTGGCAAATGTGATGGTGCATCCCAACGGCGAAGGTCTCTCTCCTTTGTGTCGGGCGCAGTAACTAATGCTCTGGCTTCTGCTCTGTTTTCTGGTTCTCACAGAGGCCCTGGCTGATCTCCATCAAGGCCCTTCATGTGTTTGCCTCAGTTTCCCTCGAGGCTCATCTGTCCCCATTACGGAGCTGTGTTTGCAGCTGTGAAATGACTCCTACGGTAAACTCACACTGTGTTTAGCTGCTGGAGCCCTTTTTCCCCACCTGAGTCTACTCCTGTCTCTCGCTTGCAGTCTCAAACAATGAACTACGTGGGACAGCTTGCTGAGACCGTCTTTGTCACGGTGAAGGAGCTGTACCGAGGTCTGAACCCTGCCACCTTGACGGGCTGCATTGATGTGGTCGTGGTGAGGCAGCCCGATAACTCGTTCCAGTGCTCCCCATTTCACGTGCGCTTTGGGAAGCTGGGTGTGCTGCGCTCCAAGGAGAAGGTGGTAAGTGGTGCCTGTCCTGGCATTATGCTTCCTCTCTGGTGTCTCCAGATGTAGGATATTCCATAACCTGCCCTGCTGAAAAGGATGCTTACCAATATTTGGAGAAGATGTCCCAAATGGAAGCCATCCTCTTCCCAGGAGGACTGTTCTTGCCAGGAAAATTGGGAGAGATCCCTTGCCTCAAAGGCTGGGTGGCTGTCAGCCCTATGAGCAACCCCAACCTGTCCCCTCCCTGAGGAAGCCCCTTCCTGTACACTGATGGGTGAGTGGGTTCAGATGGACAGGATTCTTCTGCCCCTTGCTAGGTTGACATTGAAATCAATGGGGAGCCTGTGGACCTGCACATGAAGCTGGGTGACAATGGAGAGGCCTTCTTTGTCCAGGAGTCAGAGGAAAATGAGGTTGGTGATGAAGAGTTGCTGCTGGTCTGTGTCCTGCTGTAACCACCTGGAAGCACAGGCTTGAGATGGAAGTACCAGGCTTGGACCACTCTTCTTCCCTGGGGTGACTCCATTATCCGCTCTGATGTTTTGTGCATCCAGAAAGGTGTCTACTCAAAGGACCTTGTAACCAGTATGGAGGTTCCGGGCAATGGAGTGCCCTGAGGGAGCCTTAGACCCAATATCTGCATCCCAGACTATCCTCCCTCCCTGGGCATGGCTGCTGGCCAGCCAGGCAGATATCTCAGAGCTTGGCCTCTTGGAGGATCTTGTGCCAGGGATGAGAGTGAGACAGATGCTGTGGCAGGCTGCCCGCTCTACTGGGAAGTGCGATGAGACTAGTTGTGGCTTCCAGAAATCTTGGCAGCTCTCTCCCAGGCTGACTTGTGGTTGCTGCTGGCTTGGGCTGGGTTTGAGAGAAGGGAAAGGGCTTGAGAGCCGAATCCCACTTGCAGCCTTTGTAATTCTGGTCTCATGGTGCCATCTCCTGCCTGCCTCTCCTTGCCCGTGTTAAAGTTGCCTAGCTTGTGGCTGGATAGCCCTTGTTTTGGTTTTTGTTCTGTTGTGGTTTGTTCTGCTTTTTTTTTTTTACTCACATGTTGCATGTACAAAACCTTTCCTTTTTGGCTTAGCCACAAAACCACCCTCAAGCTGAGGGCTTGGTGGTGTTGGCTGTGCTGGTGGTGTATGTTGCATAGAGGGGAGCCATGAGCTGCCAGGCTGGAAAAGAGGGTGCTGGAGCTGACGAGCTCTCTCATGCCTGTTGCAGGGCAGCATCCCCTTCCGCCTCTGCACGTCCCCCATCCCCAGGGAGGAGAGCCCGGAGGCTGTGGCTCAGCCCTCTCATGGGCAGGAGGCCTCCAGCGCTGAAGCCACCCTGCGCAAGAGGAGGTGGCGCAGGAGGAATCCCAAACAGAAGGACATGTCGGACTCCGAGTTAGAAGGCTGCAAGGAGACCAAGAGTGAGATGTCTGCGGAGGAGCCGTGCAAGCTGCCAGCTCCCAGGTGAGCAGCTTGGGCAGGGCAGAGCGATGCGGTGGGTCAAGCCTGTAGGTTTGCTTGGTGATGCCCAGCAGGACTGAAACATGGGGACAGTGTTTCGAGTTGGATCCCAGCCTCCTGCGGAGTAGAAAGCCAGTGGAAATGGTAAGGTTGGGTATTGCCAGTTTTCCAGGTGAGGAGGCTGGTACCTGACAGTAGCAAAACTGACCTCTTTCCTCCTTCATAGTGATTCTATGTATTTCTCCTTCACTGATCTTCCTGAAGAAGAAACTGGGTTTTTGCAGTCCCCGGAGATGCACCCTCACTCTGATGGGGAGCTGGCCTCCATGGACAGGTAACAGGCAGAGCCGAGGTGATCTGCTCAGCTTTGGTGAGGGCAGGGGATGTGCCTTGTGGCTGGGAAGGTGGTAAGGAAAAGGAGTTCAGGGGTGTCAGGAGAGGAGGGTTTTCCTGGCCTGATGCGGTGTAGCTGGAGGAAAGCCCACAGCTGACGAGGGACTGCTGGCCATGGTCACAGATGGAAGAAGCCTGTGTGCACAGGGCTCTCTGCCTCTGCTGCTGAGTGGCTTCTAGATGCTCAGTGGCATAGCACTATGATTCCTTGGGCCTCAGCTTCCCATAGGTATTGCTCGTTCATAAGCGATAGTCTTATGGGGCAGAACCAACTCTATGGGAAACCAACCTCACAGGGTTCTTGGCCCTAAATGTCCTTGCAGTGATAGGAAAGCATGGGGCTGTAGGGTCAACGAGGTCTAACATCCGTTCTCTTCTTGTAGCCCCACCCTGAGCCATCCGCCTTCTCCCAAAAGTGACTCTGAGCTGGAGATCAGACCACAGGAGAGCTTTGCTCTGGGGGCTGAATCCCATGTGCAGTGGACCTGGGGAAGGCTCCCTCAGGTGAGTCCCTGCTCTTGCTCTTCTCTAGTAGCTGGTGGAAAGGGGATGTCTGAAAGGCCTGCAGAAGGTGGAGGAGGCTTTGGTCAGGCAGCCTTAGAGGACTTGTCTTCTTCTGCCTGATGCTTTGGGCAACTTCTCCTCAAACCTGTTCTTCTGCTTTCTTTGAGGTGAATAAATCAGAACGAGTTGAACCAGCCAAGTCCACAAAGACCTTTGCTACTGCAGCAACTACTGTCTCTGCAACACCAGTCCCAGTGGATGAGGCAACCTGTCTTTTTGCCACCTCTGAAGGTCTGGGAGGAGGTCGAAGCCGAGCAGGACACCAAGGTGTACCTTGTCCCTCTGCTGTGTCTGTTGTTGAGCCAACATCTGCAGCCCAGGGTGGGAATGGCCTCCCCAGGCTGAAGGACATCCTTAATGCTGTGGGGGAAGAGAAGCTGTTGGAGGCCTCCTCAGCCCCACAAGAGAAACACGAGGAAGGTGGGAGCATTGCGCCAGACATGGAGCCCTTTGAGGGAGCCGCTGCTCCAAGGCAAGTGGTCTCAAGGAGCCCTGAGCCCCAGCTGGAAAGCCAGAGGAGACAAGGTGAATGGGTGGTGGTGCTGCTGGAAGCAGTGTTTGAGCCCAGAGATGTATCTGATTTGGATGGGGGGCTGGGTTCTTCGTTCAGTGTAACTTCTTCATGACCGCCCTGGGTATTCAAGGTGTGGACATGTTTGCTTTGCCCTCTCCACGTGCCACCAGCTCCTTTGCTTTGAGGAGATGTTCCTCAAGTTTCCTCCTTTCAGTGACCGCCTAGTTCCCCATGAAGGCTTTCTTGCCTTAACATTTCCTAAAATCCATCCTTGGATGTCTCTTGCTTTGTATGCTTAGAAGATTTCTCAGCAGTGTGGACCATTCCTTAACTTGAAGTGTCTGGCAGCGTCTGGCCTGTGTCTTCATCCTGAGCACACTAAGTCAGGTGGAAAATCGGAGCGAAGCATGTACTCATCTGTCTTGACAGTGTGTTGAGGGATTTTTGTGTTGTTACCTGTGCTAACCATCCAGTCAGTGTGAATTCAGAACAAAATTGTCTCCCTGGAGAAGAGACATTTGGCATTCCTCATTGTACAGAGGGAGATAACGAAGTGTTATCTCATGGGGTGTTAACTTGAAGTGGCAACTTTAGATTGTCATACCAGAACATAGGCAGGACTTCGGCTTGTCCTTTTTGTCCTCTTGGCAAACTGTCTTATGTCCATGCAGGTGTCTTATGGTGTTTCTATTGCTGTTGATTTAAGGCTCTTTTCAAACAGGAAGGGAGATGCCCTCTTTGTATGATATGCAAATACGACAGAGGGGTTGCTGTTAGCTTTCTCAATAGACACTGAGATGGCGGGAAAGGTAATTCATCCGAGCTCTCTCCCTTCTATCTGTGCATTGAGGATCCACCAAAAGAAGTCCTCACTTGGGTCCCAGTGATGTTTACCTGGAAGGTCTCTCCAACCTGGATGAGGAGCAGGTGGCTCTCTATTTCCCCCGGAGGTATGGGTTGTCCCAGCTGGCCAAGCTCAGACCTTCTTGAGCAATTCCCTTCCAGCAAAGGATGGAGGTATGTCTAAAGCTATTGCCTGATGTTTCCACTGTTTCTTCTCTTGCTGTTAGTGACACTGAACAGAGTTCAAAGCCTGTGGCAGACCCCAGCAACCCTCTGAGTGTCCAGCTGCCGTCCGACTTGCCTACCAACAGCCCCATGGATGCCGACCCCGATTTGATGCCTGCGATCGCCCTGTCACTGTGCGGAGGCCTAGGGGGCAGCAGGCAGATCTCT